TATTTACTTTTAAAACATGTTTTATATATAGCCTATTATTATATATTAATATAAAAATAAATTAATATAACATTTCTTAAGTTGATTATTTTGATTATTGATTTTTTAAATGTTCAATTAGTCTAATATGAGATGAAAGTCTTTAATATATTTGTATATAAATATATTTAATTATTCATTTCAATATATATATATATATATATATATATATATATATATATATATATATATATATATATATAATTATACACCAATATTAATACTAATAACTATTATTATTATTATTATTTAATATAAAAATAACTCATGACTTTTTTTTGTATTGCAGGTGCTATTTCATTATAAATAATCAAGATGTCTAAAGGTTTGTCCATTGGCATTGATCTGGGAACCACTTACTCCTGTGTGGGAATGTTCCAGCATGGCAAGGTGGAAATCATTGCTAATGATCAAGGAAACAGAACCACTCCAAGCTATGTTGCCTTCACAGACACAGAAAGACTCATTGGAGATGCTGCCAAGAACCAGGTCGCCATGAACCCCAACAACACAATATTTGATGCCAAACGGCTGATTGGTAGAAAGTTTAATGATCCAGTGGTCCAGTTAGACATGAAGCTTTGGCCTTTCAAGGTCATCAGCGAAGACGGCAAACCAAAAGTTCAAGTTGAGTACAAAGGAGAGACCAAGACATTCTACCCTGAGGAAATCTCATCCATGGTCCTAGTCAAAATGAGAGAGATCGCCGAAGCCTTTCTGGGTCAGAGAGTCAATAATGCTGTCATCACGGTCCCAGCGTACTTTAATGATTCGCAGAGGCAAGCAACCAAAGATGCGGGGGTGATTGCCGGTTTGAACGTGCTGCGAATTATCAATGAGCCTACAGCAGCTGCCATTGCCTATGGGCTGGACAAGGGCAGGAGAGAAGAGAGGAATGTCCTGATCTTCGACTTGGGTGGAGGCACCTTTGATGTCTCAATCCTGACGATTGAGGATGGGATCTTCGAAGTGAAAGCCACAGCAGGGGACACTCACCTGGGTGGGGAAGACTTCGACAATCGGATGGTAAAGCACTTTGTTGAAGAGTTTAAGAGGAAGCACAAGAAGGACATCAGTCAGAATAAGAGAGCAGTGAGAAGGCTTCGCACGGCCTGCGAAAGAGCTAAAAGAACCCTCTCATCTAGCACTCAGGCTAGCATCGAGATCGATTCCCTGTTTGAAGGCATCGATTTCTATACTTCCATCACAAGGGCTCGCTTTGAGGAGTTTAACTCTGAGCTCTTCAGAGGCACTCTGGATCCAGTTGAGAAGGCTTTAAGAGATGCCAAAATGGACAAGTCTCAGATTCACGAAATTGTTCTGGTCGGCGGCTCCACGAGGATCCCCAAGATCCAGAAGCTTTTGCAGGACTTCTTCAATGGCAGGGATCTCAACAAGAGCATCAACCCAGACGAGGCGGTGGCATATGGAGCAGCGGTGCAGGCCGCCATCCTAATGGGCGACACCTCGGAAAACGTTCAGGACTTGTTGCTTCTGGATGTGGCTCCTCTGTCCCTGGGTATTGAGACCGCAGGTGGAGTCATGACTGCTCTGATCAAACGCAACACCACCATCCCCACCAAGCAGATGCAGATCTTCTCTACGTATTCTGATAACCAGCCAGGCGTCCTGATCCAGGTGTTTGAAGGCGAGAGGGCCATGACCAAAGATAACAATTTGCTCGGCAAATTTGAGCTCACAGGGATCCCCCCGGCGCCACGAGGCGTACCCCAAATCGAGGTGACCTTTGACATAGATGCCAATGGCATCCTGAATGTATCTGCTGTTGACAAGAGCACAGGAAAAGAGAACAAAATCACCATTACCAATGACAAAGGTAGACTGGGCAAAGAGGAGATCGAGCGAATGGTGCAGGATGCTGAAAAGTACAAAGCCGAGGATGAGGTGCAGAGAGAGAAGATTGCAGCGAAGAACGCTCTAGAGTCTTATGCCTTCAACATGAAGAACAGCGTTGAGGACGAAAACCTGAAAGGAAAGATTAGTGAGGAAGAGAAGAAGAAGGTCATTAATAAGTGTAAGGAGGTTATCACTTGGTTGGAGAACAATCAGTTGGCTGAAAAGGAAGAGTATGAGCACCATCAAAAGGAACTGGAAAGTGTGTGTAGTCCAATCATCACTCGGCTGTATCAAGGAGGAGTTCCACCCGCAGGTGGCTGTGGATTCCAAGCCCAGTCTGAATCACAGGGCCCCACCGTTGAAGAGGTGGATTAAAGAAAGGAAAATTTGCCTTATTATATTGTGCAATATTACTTTTAGTGTTAAAAAAGATATGGTGGCTTCACTTTATATTTCCAGATTTATATGAGACATATTGTCAAATGTGCTTGAATTTAAATGTTGTAAGACAAATTGTCCTTCAGCTGATTAAGTGAATTAATGAAATGGAATAAATTATTATGGAATGTTTTATTATATAACATATTTATTATTTATAAGAATGAAAAAATAAATGCACATTTTAAACCATGAAAACTAATGAAACCAGTATTTTTTCTATCAAAGGGCAAGGTAGAAAATGTATGATGTTAAACTTGCTCTACCTCAGTTTGTACACTAGATGACGTTGTAACACAGACTGAAACTCGTCCAGTACACTAGTCAACAGAGGACCTGGATCAACTTGACCTAAAACCTAAAAAGTCAAATACCTTATTTTATTCATTTATATTTTTAGATTTTCTATAATTTTCATTTTAATGTATATATTAATATGAATTAATGTATTTCAAAAGCAATTGACCCTTGCCACTCCATTGGACTCTCAGTCTAAAACAACAAGGAATGGACCCTTTTCACATCTTGGAAACTAGCAGAGGGAACTATAATAAACCACAATATATATATATATATATTGTGGTTTATTATAGTTCACCTTGCTATAGTATATACACTGAACACAATTATAAATGCAACTCTTTTGTTTTTGCCCCCATTTTGAAAAAAATTCAGTCACTATCTGGTGTGACCACCAATTGCCTCACGCAGTGCAACACATCTCCTTCGCAAAGAGTTGATCAGGTTGTTGATTGTGGCCAGTGGAATGTTGGTCCACTCCTCTTCAATGGCTGTGCGAAGTTGCTGGATATTGGCAGGACCTGGAACACGCTGTCGTATACGCCCATTCAGCGCATCCCAAACATGCTCAATGGGTGACATGTCCGTTGAGTTTGCTGACCATTCAAGAACTGGGATGTTTTCAGAGTTGTGTACAGATCCTTGCAACATGGGGCCATGCATTATCATGCTGCAACATGAGGTGATGGTCGTGAATGAATGGCACAACAATGGGCCTCAGGATCTCGTCACGGTATCTCTGTGCATTCAAAATGCCATCAATAAAATGCACCTGTGTTTGTTGTCCATCACATTAACCTGCCCATACCATAACCCCACCGCCACCATGGGCCACTTGATTCACAACGTTGACATCAGCAAACCGCTCACACACCCACACAATGCCATACACGCTGCCTGCCATCTGCCCTGTACTGTGAAAACCGGGATTCATCCGTGAAGTGAACACCTCTCCAAAGTGCCAGACGCCATCGAATGTGAGCATTTGCCCACTCAAGTTGGTTACGACGTTGAACTGCAGTCAGGTCGAGACCCCGGTGAGGACGACGAGCATGCAGATGAGCTTCCCTGCAAAAAAACTGTTTTTGCAGCAGCTGTCCGGGTGGCTGGTCTCAGGCGATCTTGGAGGTGAAGATGCTGAATGTGGAGGTCCTGGGCTGGTGTGGTTACACGTGGTCTGCGGTTGTGAGACCGGTTGGATGTACTGCCAAATTTCTGAAACGCATTTGGAGACGGCTTATGGTAGAGAAATTAACATTTAATTCACTGGCAACAGCTCTGGTGGACATTCCTGCTGTCAGCATGTCAATTGCACGCTCCCTCAAAACTTGCAACATCTGTGGCATTGTGCTGTGCGATAAAACTGATAACATTTTAGAGTGGCCTTTTATTTTTGGCCAGCCTAAGGCACACCTGTGCAATAATCATGCTGTCTAATCAGCATCTTGATATGCCACACCTGTGAGGATGGATTATCTCGGCAAAGGAGAAGTGCTCACTAACACAGATTTAGAAAGATTTGTAAATAATATTTGAGAAATAGGCCTTTTGTGTACATAGAAAAAGTCTTAGATCTTTGAGTTCAGCTCATGAAAAATGGGGGCAAAAACAAAAGTGTTGCGTTTATAATTTGTTCAGTATATTTATATATTTGTTTTTGTGTGCATATGAATACATATCATGCTAGTATATATATAGACTATATATATTTCCCATTTGCTTCTTCAACAGCAAAATAAAAAATAAATAAAAAATAACTAATGAGTTTCCACGACTTTAAAAGAGGACAGAAATATAGAGAGCCTGATTATACGGCAGTCAGATTATAGAAATGTCAAATTTACAGTCAAACCATGACTCCCATGCACCAATTGGTGTTTTTTGCGCAATTTAATGCCAGAATTACATGTATGCATTTGGCAGACAATAACACACAGTAAATAAAGACATAATAAAACACAAAATACAGTGTTATTGGCTAAATGTAGGCCTACATAAAAGCCCATTAAAATGTTAATTAATGCAGAAATACGTAATCATATTACGTGAAAGTAAACTGAATATTTTCTCTATATTAATCAAATTGAGCTTATAATCAAACGTAATGCAGCGCTGTAAGGGTTACTGAAACGCTGGAGCATCATCATCATCATCCTCCCATGGGCTGTGTCGTCTGAATGTCACAGAGATGCAACAGATCTTTTCCAACAAACTGATGATACAGTCTCATCCTTCGGCAACAGATGATTTGGCCTAATTCTGATGTACAATCAAAGTTAACATCGCAGACGTTATTCGGCAAGATTTTATTGTAAATTAATGGTTGTGATTAAGGAATAATGCGCGCGCAGGATGGGATTTACTAATTCAACGACGAGGTGACGAGAGTTTTGAAAGAGATGAAATTGGAGGGAATTTTTAGAGTTGTCTGACTTTTATTTTAACTACTCTGTTTTTCTTTGCAAATATGATAAGAAATGCCTGAGCACGCGCGCTTAATTCGGTCGTGATACGCGGACGGTTTGCTCATGTTTTGGTGTTTACTATAGTGTCAAAGTGCCCATGAATGAGGATCCACGCAAGCATCCTCCCATAGACTGAGAGTTTCTCCGTTAACAGGTGGTTGTTCGCGTCTCTGATGGTCATGGTGACGGCGGAAACTCTCTACAGTTGTTCGACTTTTAGAACTGATGACAGCTGCGCAGGTTTAGAAAGCCAAGAGAGTTACTAGGTAAAAGCCTCTCCATCAAAATCTATGATCAGCTCGGTGTGTGTTTCGTCGTACCGCGGGCGCAAGTCAGGCAATAAACCTCCTTCCAAATCATGTCTGAAGGAAGAGATGGCCAGAGGCGAAGACTCGGACAAAATCATAATCAACGTCGGTGGCACGCGCCACGAAACCTACAGGAGCACCCTTAGGACCATACCGGGCACGAGACTCGCCTGGCTCGCAGACACGGACAACCAGGTGAACCCGGACGCAGACATGGTGCAGACGCCCACCACTAGCGAATTATTTTTTGATCGACACCCGGGCATATTCGCCTATGTGCTGAACTACTACAGGACTGGCAAGCTTCACTGCCCAGCGGATGTGTGCGGCCCTCTGTTCGAGGAGGAGTTGGCATTTTGGGGCATCGATGAGACGGACGTGGAGCCCTGTTGCTGGATGACCTACCGCCAGCACAGGGACGCAGAAGAGGCGCTTGATATATTCGAGCCGCCAGACCCGGAGGATGCGGAGGACGACCAGGACTTGCCCAGACGCTTCGGCATTGAGGACAGCCCTGACCGCTCCAGGGGATGCTGTGAAGTTTGGCAACCAAAAATATGGGCGCTCTTTGAAGATCCATATTCTTCGCGTGCAGCTCGGGTAAGAGATTATAATTCACAATACAAGAATAGGGGGAAAAATATAGGGCCTTTGAAAATGTTTTATTTTCTTCAACAAATGGTCAAGGAGGTGATCCTTATAGGCTACTTTATCATGTGAGCTGTTTTATTTCAATAGCCTACAGCCTACAGGCCATATGTGAAGTTCCTTTGCAAACTTTTTGTTCTCTAGTAAACCTTTATTTCAAGGAAGGGATCAAATTACGGTGTTATTTCTTGGGTGTCAGAATGTTAAAGAATGTATATATTTTTGTTGTAATGAGGGGAAAATGTCACAACTAATTAAAAGTGTAGTCATTAAAATAGTTTTAATGACTAATTGAATTGAATTTCAGTTCAACAGACAACAGCACCAACTGTAGAAAACATGACTTGATTGTATGATTTTAATTGTTGGATACAATTGCAGGACGGGACAGTCCAAAAGCACCCTTTAAGGGGGGAAACAGACATTTCATATGTTAAAAATTGACTACTTTTCATGATAGATTAGTTTTATTTGAGATAATAGTAAACATATCCAAGAGTTCTTCCAACCTGTGTGATTATTGTCTCTAATGCTTTAAAAAAAGGTAGTGGGAGTGTGGGACACCAAAGTGTACCATGTTCATGGAATGAGCCATAGCCTGATCACAATATGCGCATGTAAATTAGAAACCATTTTAAAATGATTGACAAAAATAGTCTTGCATCATGCAGTATTTAGTGTCAGTTATGCATATCTAACAGGTGATGCATGCCAACAGGTGTTGTTGCATTATGGCCATTAGAGTTTTCAGGCTTTAGTCTCAATCTGTAAGTTAGTTTTGAATAAATGTCATGATCACAGATCATCTTTACTCTGTGGTTACCGGTGGAAACACAATCACCAACTGTCTATTGAACGGCACCTGTCTCACACTGTTGCAAACATGCACTCACCCAGATGCCACCTGCTCTAGTGTTAATGTGTCACATGCTCATGTCAGATGTGTGAAATCCTCTCTTGCTGTGATGGATGAATGTCATTTGGAGACATTTCTATGATGCTACAGAGTCAAAATGATTTATGTTTAATTGGTGCCATATGCCCACAAAAGTTGTGCAACATTCAGATTTTGTCTATTTGTCTCCTTTATTGCTAGGTTGGTTATTTACTAGTTATTCAAATTGCCTTAAACCAGCTCTAGACAGAGAATGCGTATTGAGGGCTGTGTCAGAGGAGTGATCTTTAGATTTTGAGGCTTAATGTTAAGTCAAGATTCAATCGGTTTGTGTGAAAGTAAGAGAGCACGGACACAGTGCCTTTAAAATGCTTTTAAAATGTTGATATGTCAGTTTTAAGTCCATCAAATGATGACGAGATGATGAGAAGGATCGACTCGCAGGTATTAACCATGATTATAAAACGTTTCACCTCTCACTCGTAGAATAAAGTGTATCACCACCACCAGTTCTTTAGCTGGTTGGTTTGATTTATTTGTGTGATAATGTCTTCTGCCCTTTCTCACATTAGATAGTCATGAAAAGTGCTCAACTTAATTGGATCAAAAATACAGTAAAATTGTGAAATAGCCTATTACAATTTAAAGCAGCTCTTTCTATTTGTAATATATTTTAAAATGTAATTTATTTATGTTATAAGCTGCTTTTTTAGCCATTTCTCCAGTCTTCAATGAATCCTTGGCAATGAATTTGAATCCTTCAGAAATCATTCTAATATGCTGACCATGATATTGTTTATGATCAATGATGAAAACGGTTCCATTATATATTTTTTCAGTATTCTTTGATGAATAGAAAGTTCAATAGATTAGCATTCATTTGAAATAGAAATTGTTTGTAACTATAAAAATGATAAAATTGAAATATTAATTTCTTACCGACGGCAAACTTGCCCTGAGGATTTTGTTGTCACACCTATTTTGTGCATTTTATAGCTAGTCATATCTTTTTTTTATATCTGAGTTTTTGTAAGCAAAATTGAAAAGTGTAATTAAATCACAAGCAAGAGGGCAGAGCATACAGTCACTACTGTAATGAGCTTTTTAAATCAGTAATGTGAAAGCTTTTAATTGTAGGACTAAATCTCTGTTGCAGTATTGAACCCTGGACCATTTGGCTCCTTTATTTTGACTGGGAAATCAATTCTCCCCTTAGAGAAATTTAAAAGTTAGGAATTTCTTTAGTTGTTTGGCACAGAGGTCACTTAAAATAAATAAAATAACAGTGCTCTCATACAATGTGTCTGTATGTGTTTTTGAAATGTGTGAAAACACTGAAATGTGTTTTTCTCTTTAGGCTACAAAACAGACATCAGATTTCATTGATATGCAGTGTGTTTGTCACAGCTGAGCTGCTTTGGTTGTTAACATCTACACAGCTGAGCCATTGCCTTGCAGGTCCATCACTTCATCACTATTAAGCTGTTTGTTTTTTCCTAATTAATTTAGATGATATCCAGCATACAGGCCTGACAGACTAGATGCTGATCACGCCTCTAAGAAAACCAGTAATAGGGAAGAAAGAGGTGAAACAGAACAGATACACTTTCTAAAGAATAAACCTCTCAGAGCAAACAAGACATCATTATATTCCAATCACCCAGAAATGACAAGGAGCAAATGGTTGGGTTTCTTGGACCCTGCTGCTCTTCGGCTCTCTCAATTATCTCTGCCTTGAGAGCATTATGGGCTGCAGGGCTCATGTTACCATATTGACGGCTACTCAGGCCAGCTAATACAGTTAGAAAAGAGGAAAATCTATCTATGAGGGCTTTCATTAATCATAGGATCCAAACGGTATGGAGAAATGGAAAGAGATAGAAACAACGCAAACATTTTTTTTTTACAGTATCTTGTCTCCCAGTAAAAATGTCAAAACCTTTAAGATAAATTTACTTAAGTGTATTTTCTTAACCTATTAAAATAATAATTTGACCCAAATGTAGTCTAATAAGTCTACTTGTATTGTCTTCTTCTGCTGAACATAAAATAAGATATTTTGAAGAATGTCACTAAACAGTTTCAGTTCCCATTGACTTCCATTTGACTTTTTTATCCATCCAATATGGGTGAACATGATTTCACCAAGTACAACATGTTCCTGGATCAACATTTTTTTTGTGTGCCTGGAACAACATTTCAATCAACCAATCAGATTTGAGGGACAAGTTTACAGTTCATGTCAAGTTAAGGCTTACAACCAGTGTATACATCAGTGTTAATCACCTATCATTTCCCTCTGATTTAGGAAGTTATAGTATGGTTAGGTTTAGGGGTAGGGATAGGGATAGAGTTAGGACTACATTTTCAGACAGGGATGTTGACAGAATATGTTGATCCAGGAGTCTTAGTCTTACTTGGCAAAATCACAGTGACCCCATAGGATGGAAGTCAATGGGAACCAAAACGTTGCTAACATTCTTCAAAATATATTCTTTTGGGTTACACTTTATTTTAAGGTTACATAGTTACAATGTCCTGTACTGAGTAATATGAATTATACATATACATATACTGCGTTAGAATAAACTGGGAAGGGTCACAGCACTTGCATATTGTTGTCCTATTGTTAGTTGCTTCTAATGCTCTCCTCATTTGTAAGTCACTTTGGATAAAAGCGTTTGCTAAATGATTAAATGTAAATGTAAATATACTTACTATATAGTTACAATTAGGGTTTGGTTTACGGTTATTTTCTTGTAATTATGAATAATTTACTGTTATTACTATAGAACATGTAACTACGTCACCTTACAATAAAGGTTTTGGTGTGTGTGTGATGTGTAAGCTCTACCTCATAAATACAGCATTACATTCTCACCGTCATGGTAATTAATCAGTCACCGGGTTATTGACAGAGGGCAGACACTGTCTGGATGTGTGCCGTGCTAGGCATTCTGCTAGCATGATTTTGAATGTTTGTGTGCCATTAAAAAGCCTTTAGAACTGCTCCTGCGTTTTAAAGGGGCTCTAGTGGAGAAACTATGGATTGAACCTTCATGAGATATCAGAGATCCCTAATATGAACAATATAGCCTGATGTTTAATCACCCATAAAAATGACTTTAAAACAATCTCTCTAGGCTCAATCGAAGACATGCACGTATTTCCCGGTGGCATGTGTGGACACTTTTGAAAGCCCTGTAGGGAACTCACTGTGAAAGATAATGGTCTCTCCACTCATTAACAAATATGCGATATCCAAAGCGACTTACAAATTAGGAGAGCAATAGAAGCAATTAAACTAACAATTGGACAACAATATGGAAGTACTGTGACCCTTCCAAGTTTAACGAAGATGTGCTGATGTAGTGCATTTTGAACCTTCGTTTTTCTTAAATATGAGCTGTATCTGTGCTGGATTCAGATAAGGGTTTTGCTTTTTAGTGACTCGTTGTGCCAGTAGGTGAGAGTCTTAATGAGCGAGTCTTTGAATCACTTATTCAACCCATTTGTTTAAACACACAAATTCATTCAGAAACCAAACAAGTAACCGCCTTTATGAGTGAGTCATTGGATTCACTTAACCGACTCATCGAAAACGTTCTTTTTTTGCCAGTAGACTCTCTTCTGTTTGGTGTTTTTTTAAATAGGTGATTTAGCGCGCTCCATATAAACTTTTCTCACTCGTTGTGACAACGAACCTATGCCACTTTCACACCATACACGAGTCAAAGGAGCCGGAGCAACTTTTCTCTATTTATGGATATGATGAGACTTGCACAGGCGAGTGACGTATGTACGCAATTTTCTGTGAAAACCATCCCGTCAGAAATATTATAAATAAACACGTTTTTGAAGAAGGATTGATGATGTATTGACTCATTATTTAAATTTTGTTAATTTTGAACAAAAAAGTTACATAGTGTACTTTAAATTTTATATCGCTAACAAAATCATCACGAAGATGTGAATATTTCATATATATTCCTCAGCCCTAATGAAGTTAAACATGGATTTGCAAAAGTATTGAGACCCTAAAACAATTCTCTGATTT